AATACATTTAGAAAAATGTATTTATATATATGTGCAATTATGTATATATATGTGTGTGTGTGTTAAGTATATAAGATACACAGAACTTATATGTTATCATCCCTCCTTTCCCCAGCCTTGAGATGAAACAAGGATAAAATAGGTCAGAGTTAAGGCATCTGAAATGCTATTTATCATAGATGTTCCCTTTTAAGCTGGTTGTTTAAATAACCCTCCATAAAGGGGGTGTAAAAGCAATCCACTCATAATTCTACAAATTTGGTTTGCGATGAACCATTCTACCTGGCATGTCATTTAAAAAGTTTTCTATAAGGCCCTGAACCAAATAAGGTTTTCTCCCTTTTTAAGTATCATAATTGGTTCCCAAGCAATAACATGCAGTTGGATTAATCCAGACCTGTGGATTAAATTCTGTATATTTATTTTTATTTCAATACTGCACAAACCAGAATAATAACAACAACATAAAAAAACTTGTGGCTTGGCCTTATTGAGGTGAAAGAGTTGTAGTTCGATGTTTTTAAATCGCAAAACAATGCCAATTACTGAGATAGTGTGTTCTCATTGGTGTCTAAGTTAAAATTTATCTTACAGTCACGTTTTTTTTATAAAGGTTGATAGATCACTGTCTTGCATTCTAAAATTCCACGTGAGATTTAACAACTGACATGTCCAATCACCTTTAAGCATACTAATGATTAAAGGGCACTGAGCATGGCAGCCAAATCAACAGCAGAGCCCTTTTCTGAGACTTTTAACTTTGCGTGATTTGAATTGGTAACGCACTTTAACAAAGCAGACGCAGTTAGGAAGGTTAACCCGTGTAAAATGCTGGTTTTCCACACTATTAATGCATATTACGCATGAGCTTTGGTTTGATGCTGAAGTGAAAATGCCTTACCTCGCTGGATAGAATGCCACCATTAGATAAAATGTCAGGCTGCTGATCACTGTAGCCGGTGACTATGGCCCCGCAGGGGTTGGTGTGGTCTGCCTCGCTGCTGCGGGAGGGGCTGCACGGCTTCAAAAACATCAGATCCGTCTTGGCGGACTCCGGTGTCAGGCACACCTGGTAGCAGTAGGAGTTCTGGGTCTGGTGGTGGTGGGAGCCGAACCCCCCTCCCACGCCCCCCACCCCTGACTCCTCCACTGGCACCTGCCCGACGGGCCCAACTCCCGTGCTCACGTTGGTGCTCTGAACCAGCATGATGTCTGATTTGCTCAGTTTTTTCTGCTTTCTGCCGCGACTCTGCCGGCTACAGCAAGAGCCGCAGCAGAAGCAGCAATCTCCGGCTAGCAGACATGTGTAAAGGTTGAGCTTCTTGTCCTTTTGGCAGCGCACAGCCAGCACGATCATGGCCAGGAGGAAAATAAATGACACTGAGCCCAGAGCGATGATAAGAATCAGGGTAAGATCAAGGGAGGTATCTTTAGACTTAGAGGCCGAGCCGCGGTCCCCACTGCGGCCCTCCACCACGCTGTCCACCAGTAACACGCTCACACTGGCTGATGAGGAGAGAGGGGGCTGCCCGTGGTCCCGCACCTCGATCAGCAGGTCATACAAGCTCTGTGGGTCCCGTTTGGCGGATATCCTGCGCGCCGTTCTCAGCTCTCCTGTCCTCCAGTCCATCCGAAACATCCCCATCTCATTGCCCCTCAGGATGCTGTAGGAAAGCCGTGCGTTTTCGCCATCATCTGCGTCCATGGCCACGATGCGCGTCACCAGGTATCCAGGCTCCGCAGAGCGCGGCAGGTGCTCCTTAGCTGTTCCATTCTTTCCTATAGGAGCTATAACAGTGGGAGCGTTATCATTTTGGTCAACGATGATGACGTTTACAGTGGCATTAGAGAACAGCTCCACAGCACCTGAGTCTTTAGCCTGAACCATGAAGCTGAACTCTTTCAGCTGTTCGTAGTCGAAAGAGCGCAGCGCGTAAAGATAGCCGGTGTCTTGGTTTATGGAGACATATGTGTCCACAGACATGCCCTGGATGTCACACTCCAATATGGAGTAGGTAATTAGAGCATTCTGTCCTATATCAGGGTCCAGGGCGCTCACTGCATGAATGAATGCCCCAGGCACGTTGTTTTCAGTTACATACACATCATAAACTGCCTGCGTAAAGCGGGGCGCGTTGTCGTTTTCGTCGGACACATGCACCTTAATAGATTTACTGGTTGCCAGCGAGGGCTGACCTCTGTCTTTGGCCACCACGGTGATGGTGTATGAGTCCGTGTTTTCTCTGTCCAGTGAGCCGTCCGTTACGATGGTGTAGTAATTTTTAAACGAAGACTTTAACTTGAAAGGGACGTCGCCCAGGATTTCACAGCTCATCTGACCGTTCTCACCAGAGTCTCGATCCGAGACGCTGAACAGGGCAATCACGGTGCCAGGGGCGTCCTGTTCGCTCACAGACTCAGTTACAGTGCTGAAGCCGATCTCAGGCGTGTTGTCGTTCACGTCCAGGAGTTTGACCAGCACTTTGCAGTGCGCAGGGACGGCATTGGCACCCAGATCTTTCGCCTGCACATTGATCTGGTGCGTATTGCTCTCTTCATAGTCCACCTCACCTGCCACTTCTATCCTGCCCGTTCTGGCATCGATGGTGAATAAATCCTTTATTCGTGGGGTGTTGTGATTACTGAAGGAATAAACTATTTCTCCGTTTTGTCCCTCGTCTACATCTGTGGCGGTGAGCTGGATGACTAGAGTCCCAACAGGAGAGTTTTCCCGCAGATTAATTGTGTAAACAGACTCGTTGAACGTGGGTGCGTTGTCATTAGAGTCCAGAACTTTAACAACCAGAAGCGCCGTCCCGGTTCGCTGCGGGACGCCTCCATCCACAGCCGTCAGCACATAGCGATGGACCGCCTGCTGCTCTCTGTCCAGCGGTTTCTCCAGCACCAGCTCCGCAAATTTGGTGCCATCGCTCTGCGTCTGCACGTCGAGGTAAAAATAGTTATTGTTAGTTATAGCATAAGTGCTGAGCGCGTTGGTGCCGACGTCGGGATCAAATGCGTTCTCCACTGGGAAACGCGTTCCGGGTATGGCACTCTCAGATATTTCCACTGAAATGTCCGTTTCTGGGAAGCTGGGCGGATTGTCGTTAATATCCATCACTTCGATTTCCACGCGGAAGAGCTCCAGAGGATTCTCCAAAAACACCTCCAGATGCATTAAGCATGGGATTGTCTGCTTGCAGATTTCTTCCCGGTCTATTTTTTCCTTCACCAAAAGCGCGCCGTTCTCCAGGTTCACCTCCAGATAAGGTGTCCTAGAACTTGGCACAGTCTGGAATCGGCGAGCGGAAAGTTTTGTGATGTCCAACCCCAGATCTTCCGCTATATTCCCAACAACGGAGCCAGGCTCTTGCTCCTCTGGTACTGAGTAGTGCAGCTGACATAGAACTCCATTCACAATGGAGAGCAGAAATATAAACCAAATCATCTCCTTTATCCCCTTCCAAGTGCACAACACAAAGAAAAAAAAAGGGCTATTCCTTTCTTTTACAAAGTATGTGCATTTCCGTTCTTCTCTGAGGGGAAAAAAACAGCAAAACAATCTACAACAAGGCTCTTCAATTCTAATGATCCCATCATTTGGCTTTGCTCAGTTGTTTCAGCTGTGAGGAGCGCAGCCATTTGATCCAATCTTCTCCGTTTTAATCAATTCGGCAGCAGGTATGTGAGTTTTTAGTGTCAGTGCACACATGCAGAAGCTGGACCCAACATTCCTTGTGCGCAGAACTGACTTCCTTCTGAAAAGTGAGATGAAATATAGATGATGAAAAACTTAAAATCCACGTGATGGGAAGAAAATGTAAAAACCTGTAAAGCATTGGAAAAATGAATTCTTTAAAAAAAAATTGTGAGACTTTTTCCAGGAGGTTGTAATGACTGCGCCTAAGCGCTCAAAGCCGATGATGCTCTCATCTCTGCTTCTGGAAGGCGAGTGTGAGCGGCGGGGCTGGTTTTGCGCACAGCCTTTTTCCCCGGCAGCCAATGATATTCCTCAAACGTCGGGTGTAATGGCACCTGATTGGGGCTCTGTGATGCCAGCTGAAGCGCACGCTGGGCCATCATAACAAAACCAGTTAAAGAGCCGCTGCGCTTCTCTCCTCTCCTTTTTTCCTTTCCTCCATCCAACTCTTTCCTCTTTGCCCGTGATGTTGTAGCAGGGGAATTATGAGTGTTACACACCCTATGAATTAGCAAGCTGGATAATGTAGTTTATTAGTATTGCAAAAAATATATACTAAAAAAATTATTTATGGGGCTTTTCACAAACTGTTCTGTTTGCCAAAAAAAAAGAAGAGATAGAGTTTGCCCTTGAGGAATAATCCAACTGTTTAATATCAAAGTGCTGATGTAATACAATCGAATGCGTCAGAGTGCAATAAGGAAGCCCTCAGCCAAACATGTAAAACTGCCTGTGTAAGTAAAATAACCCATGACGCAATACCACACCGTGCAGTGTCTAGATTCTTCTCTTCCCTTCTTTTTTGTGAAACATAAAAAAAAAATCAAATCTGGAGATCTTACTCCAGCAGGATAATGTAATGAGCTTTTTTTTTTTTTTTTTTTTTTTTTTCCCAGTGGGGCAGTCATGTTTAAGC